TTAAGACAACCGTTCAAAATTTATTTTTGATATTAGTTAATCACAAAATAGTCATTGCAACATTATTGGTAAGATGTTTATAGAATTAATCTATAAATTTAAATCTAAAAGTACTGATTATTAAATACGAAAACAACGTTTAAACCTAAAATCTGTTAATACTCACATAAACAAGACACGACGGTTCTATTTATATTATGGCTGCCATCTATTGTTATAGAGTAATACTAAGTGTAGGAAAGAAAGTAACAACTAATAATATGAGGTGTTACAACGATTCGTAAATAATTCATTATATCCTTCATTTAAAAATAAATAACTGTGATTTGTGGTGTCCCACTTCCTCGAAAAGAGTTTTGAGATAGGACATTAATAATTTTCTCTTATAAATCAAAATCACTCATTAATAATGTGAAGAAGTTTTCGAACTGCTAATATTACGTTTTTACTGCTGTTTTACGACTCATAAATATTAAATATATTTTGCAAACTACCAGACTGGTGCTGTTGTATACCTTATTATATATATACATATAATATGTATAACACATTATAAAATGTAATACCCGTACATTATTTAATATGGAACAACCTTTTCGTGGTTTAAAAAATATATAAATACAAACCCTATGGCCTATATGTATTCCATATACCTACACAGAACAAAGGGCAATGACCATTTTTGGCCTAGCGTGAACAAGCTGCTATCAAAAAACAAAGTTTATGAAAAAAAAAAATTTTTTTTTTAGCTAGCCATTCTATTGTTGTTTGAGTGTACATTTGTATTTTATTGAAAAAATATTTTTAAAGTATCTTCATTGATTTGCTTTATTGATCCACGTTTTGTGTTACCAGCAAGATCAATTAACGATTGCGTCAAATCGAATAATCTCGCAGTACTTAATACAACTATAAGTATTTAATACAAAAAAATGAATAATATTTGTTTTTAATTAATTTCATCATTTAAAACGTTTTATAAACTGAAATATGAAGAATGTACGTAATCATATCTGTTTTCGATCAATTTTTTAATGATTTTTTTCTATTGCAACACTAATAAAATAAAAAATACAAATTGACATTGATATGTCACAGACTGATTGTTTACATTCGCTTTGTTTACCTACATTGAGAGTGTTGACTCGATATTGGCAGAATATACTGTGCACTTTTCTGCACGGATGAAGGCCATATTATAAAATATAATAATAATTGAGAGTGTTGATTTATTGTGGATTTTCTTTCAACGATTGTTTATTCATTATGGACTCAAACCTATCTTTTTCCAATGACCCCGGCACATCTACGGACTCCGAATTTCGCTCAAACGATGACCCTGGCTTTTGTATTATGGACTCCGATCAAGGCATAAACGATGACCAACACTCACGTAATATGGACCCCGAAACTAGCTCCATCGCTAACCACGGCTTTAATATGGACATTGAACAAAACCAAAGCGTGTCTCATGATAGTCTGCACACAGAAGAAGTGACTTCTTACCAATCCGTATCCCTGAGATGCATAAACTGTGGAACTGATTTGATAGAGAGAAGGCGACGTAGTCTAGATCTTAATCAGGTTCAGTCTACTATAAAACAGTGGAGAGCTCCTCGACGATTAAGTGTCAATTCAATTAATTATATAAATTACTCGTTTTTTAATAGATATGTATTGTATATGCTATTCCTATAATGTAAAATGAGGTTTTATTGTTTTATATAATTATAATCCTTATACACTGTTGTATTATAATAATTGAAAAGGTGTTTACTCCTAACACATTACCTGACTTTGTTATCGAAAATAATTTAAATAGAAGGTGGGCAGATTTTCAACCTATAAATGTAAACATGGACAGTTTCATATTTCCAAGAATAGAATATAATGATCTTATATTAATTGCATGTGGAACATACCAATTACTAAAACAAGCTTGTTAGTATTATGAGCAGCACTTAAGAGGCCATGGTTCCTATACTATAGAAATATGTAGAAATATAGTCAGCGGCCTATTGGTTGACTACCTGATTCCTTTGGCCGACTGCAGATTATTGCGTGGAAAAATACAAAGCAGGCATGTAAGTCGAAAAATATATTATATATATATATGTTATATGAAAATAATCACAATGGTAAGGAAGCTATAAAAGAATATTATTGTAATTGCATGGTTGACCGAAGGACAGTGGGTTGATGAGCTCATATAAAGACTATTTTATGGTTTTTAAGTTTGGCAAGGTATAATGAACACATTTCACCACCGGTCCAATTTCTTGAACACATATTAATAACATATGATGTCTCAGAATAAAAATAAATCATAAAAAATGTTGTTTTATTTCGCTTTAACCTGTTTTTCCTCACATGACAAAAATCTCTTTTTAAACATTTTGATACAAAATTAAGTTCATATTCTCATTATTACTAGTTAGTGCATTTAAACTAATTACAAAAAATATGATAAAATGCCTGTTCACGTCAGGTCAAAGTCCCCATACTAAGTGGATAATCTCCTTTCGCTTACAACGCCTCAAATATCTTAATAATCAACAATTTAAAATGATTTCGAAAGCCGATTCAAAGAAAACTAAACCATTTTGGATCAATTCTAACAATATAATAAAATTGAATTTTTATTTGTTTCGTTAATTTAAAAAGTGTACGTTAGTAGGAAAAGTGTATCACAGGTGGTCCGACCAGGAGCCACACGATAGCCTCTGTATCCTAAGTCCACTTCATCATCATAACGAATCGTTAACAGATTTTCATTCATAAATGTTCGCACATTATATTTATGGTATAAACACAGATCACTGAACGGGAAACGGGAATATCTGCGTGTGTAGTGTGATGAATGACGATGCATACTTGGACTAACTACTAAGCATAGGTACAGCTTTTTAATGTCGTTAATTGGAAATCATGACGGTAAAGCTAGTCGTAGTTTTTAAGCGATCGAGATAAGTCAATTACTTTAGTTTATTTGCCTGGTGACAGGACACACGTTTATTCAATAAAAGAAGCTGTGCTTCAAATGTTTCCGACACTTGTTTTACAAATAACACAACAGCTTCCAAGGGTAAAACTTATTTCTGTGAAATAGCGTAAAAAATCTAAAAGGTTTTAATTTCAGTGTCCAATATTTTTAAACCATAATTTTGTTTATGGACCAAATAGTTACATATCTATATAATGTTGAAGTAACTATTAAGATGTAATACAATTAAAATATGTATGGCATATATTTCAATTGCTTAAATATATCATTTATTATTAAGTTTTTTCTTTCATAAAACATATTAATTTCATTCGTATGAATCTAATACTTGTCGTATGTGTGATAACTCTCACTCTCATTCCCCTCCAGCAATAAATCTAAGTTGTAATAAACAATTCCTCAACAGCGCCATCTGTTGGAGACGCGCGTTAATAACAGGCGGCAATAAATCAGCAGTGATAACAGATGGCGTTAAAAGTTTTGCAATAAGTCTGCGGGAAAGATTGTATTTACGAGTGTTTTTGCGAATGGAACAGGTGTGGGCCGTACTCTGAGATGGAGGGAGAAACTTTGAACTCGATTGATGTGAAATAGATTTTAACATTTCTCATAACATTTGCGAACAAACTTCTGATTCTTGTTAATAACAAGTTTAATAATAACTGTTCGGTTGTTCTGTGATTATTTTAATGTTCCTGTAATTCTTATATTTTAAAGGCAGTTAATTAAAGGCACTTACGGTTTTATGGTCGTGTAGAGTGCTTGCGGTTGTTTAAAGGGGTCCATTATGGGACATTTACACCATACGTGTCTCAGTCTGGCTAACGTTGGTCTCACGTGTTTTATATTGATAAATGATTATTATAATACTGGGCTAAGATGTGATCTTTTTACAATTTTATGAACAAAATCGTTTGCAATTTATTACTTACTTTTAGTTTACTAGAATGTATTGTAAAATATTTTATCTGAAGAAAATTATAACACTTTAATATGTTTTAAAATAAAGTTTCTAGTATACTAGATTGGAAGTTGTTATTTGTGTATGTATTTGTATATCATGTTCCATTATAATGATTTCCATACTCTGTTTTATCTCAAGGGTTGGAACAGACGTTACTTTACCAGGGACACGAAACACGGGGAGATCCGAGTGCAATAAGCATGTATATAATTATTGAGATTCATGATGGTAAATTTTCACTCTTTGTAACCGATTCTAAAAATTATTTAAATGTACTTGAATTACTTCGATAAACAATGTTTTTTGGTGAAACATTTGCTAGCTTAAAATCCTTTACTTATTTATATTTTTAGTGTATTCATATATTTCTTTTATTTTATAAAACTGAGTCTATATAGTTCTTGTTATTACGAGATTTTGTGTAGGAATAAAATGCTTTTAGTGTCATCAAAAATATGTAGTGTGTTGTAATGATTATTGTGTCGTTTAACAACGAACATTCGGTCTGAAAGGATTCTTTGCTGTGGAGAAGAGCTCGCGGCGGGGGTCACGAGACGTAGTGTGGATAGATACATATGTATATGACTGTTGTAAGAATTATATATTATGTAGGAGTGTATATTAATATATAATTATTTGTTACATAGGAATTTTTTATGTGTTTCTTTATCAATACATTCATATTTAAGTTGCTGTATATAAAAAATATATCGTCGGGGATAATGTAAATTCTCGTAACTAGCATTGGATAATTATGTATATCTACATTGGAAGCAGATTTTCAGAAGAAAATTTAAGCTGAAATATTTTCTATATAAACGACTTTTAAGGTAATTTTTTCACAATTAGTAGTAAATTAAACACTCAATAATTCTGATCTGTTTCCAATGTAGATACTCGGAATAATCCAATGGTAGTTACGTGGATTTGCACTATCGCCGACGATATGCAATGTAGACGTTCATTATGAACTTATTTATCAATAATATAAAATAGGTAATCCACTAACTGTGATCTGTATATCTGATGAACTCAAGGCTGTGGGTCCCCTCCCCGTCCCCTTTTCCTCACCCCTCCCCCTTCCTCCTCCTTCGTCTTATTTCCACAACATTTATCTCCAACAGTGAGGGGTTCAATTATAAAGATCATATTCTGGAATCATCGAGCTAGAAAATTGCTCGACTTTCAACCTTTATGATTCCCATTTAAATAATGTTACTAGAACTATTATCTTTAATGGTCTATTATTTAAAATATCCAAATACGTTTTCGGGTTGTTCAGTGATAGAATAAATCTTAGTGTGGAGTGTATAAGGTCAATAATAATGTTTGTGAAAGTCAGTTAAAAGTTCCGAAAGTCAAACGAAATAATTTGAAGTTAATCGGTAAAAAAATTATAATTTTTTTCATTTAATTAAATGATAGTTTAATGTAATAATGATATGTATAAGTGTAATGTTTTTCAAATACTGCTACTAACATGATTGTCGCAACGGTCTTATGACCTTTCTGATTTTTAATATATGAACGTATAAAATTTGAACATTTTATTGTAACTCTGCCACCTTAGTTAATATTATTTATTAAGAACTAATAACATTTCATCATTTTTTTATCATTGTAAAGACGAGATATCGTCTGTGTGCGTCAGCAACCGCGCTGAAACGTAACCGAAACGTCCGGAGAATGTAGTTTTTTACAATAACAAAGTACGCGTAGTATAATCGGTAAAATATTAGTTTCATTTAAATTAATACACGCAAAAGCATAAGATCTCATTAATAATCAATAGAATGATAAAAATTAATCAGTCAAGCGCAAAATTCTTTAGCCAAACCAACTCTTAAGATAAATAAACTTAACTTTTAACAAATACTTGACAATTAAAATGGATATTCAGAGGTGGCTCGTTTTTTCCCCAATTTATATCACAGGGGGCACAAAAGTCTACGATCATTAAAAATTTGAAGGGGTCAGCAGTTTGAGAACAAAACTTGAATAATTAAAGCAACTTAAAGATAATTACGACGTGCCTGAAAACTTGAGATTTGACGAATTATATTAACGAAGAAATAAACATAGGTTACAATTATAAATACTCTCATTAATTAATATGAGGCTTGTGAATATCAGTTATTTATAAGGCTCCTTTATTTTAATTTAAGACTGTAAATTACTAAGTTTATTTCATGAAAAACTTCTATCAAAATCAATTTGTTTTAACTTCGATATATCAAAATATATATTTGTAAAACAAAACAGATCTAGTGTAATATGTGTGATGCTTCTTTTTATTTCACAAATTAAAATAAAAACGAAAAAAAAAGTACTGTTAATAGACATTTAGAGGGCGCCGGTTTGATTTATTTGAATCGAAATTAAAATGGTATTTATGTAGTATGGGATCACTTGTTCTAGGAGTAGAGGGCGAGCATTGTTTATCATTACTATTCTTAAAATACTGCAAAAATAGTATAGTATGAAAAATAATCCACTATATGCTATATGGTAAATAAATTATATACGATAAAAACCTTCAAGATAAAAAATACATACAAAAATATGTCTCGTAAAATATGGCTGGGAGTATTTCTGTCAATAAATTTGTAGATTTGCGTTGTGTTTAATTAAACTTAAATTTTTTTTTTGGTAACCATTCGAAATCTCATCGTTAAGGAGGTAGTAGTCTACATCTCTCTATCGTTCCACACATAAATTTGCGACAAACATAAAACCTCAATGTATTAATAAGTTTCTCATCTCTTTGTTTTATCTAAGGCAACATATAATATCCTTTTATACTAAAATATATTTATTATTCCAACAATGATTCCTGTACAGTTTATATCATGCTGCGATCAATTAAAATGACTTTATTTACTAACCTCGAACCCTTGAGTAGACCTTCAAAAATCCTGCTTCAGATCACATTCGTACTCTTACCTGTGCCTATCATCAAAGCTCGTTCATGTCAAAGTACCTAATTCTATATATAATATTATCACTCACCCTGTCACAAGGGGCCGGCGCGTGTAACTGCCTCGCCTGGCCTCTGCCCAGCGCCTCCCTCTTCCTCTGGGCGCTGAAAAGCCTCAACTCCTTCCGTTCCTCATCAGACAAGGAGTGGCAGTACCGGACCTGGAAGAATATGAACACCCGTCAAGTATACGATACCAATCTGAAACAGACACATCGGACACACGATGAATGATGAACAAAAGAATATATATTATTTTTATAAATATTATATGAAAAGGATCGTTCATAGACATTTGTGATGAGAACGTAGAAAAACTGAACCACAGAAATAAATGGAGATTGATAAAAACGATTAAAGAAATATGTGTGTGTTAAGCTGAGGGTCTCATTGCGATAAATTTTTCACGAAACTTGTAGTGGTTTAGTGTATTATATCATATATGTAATTTAATATAATGTAGAAAAGAAGCTGTTAATAGGAAATATAGTTCTGTAAGATCCTTAAAACCACGTTAACTATTTTGGTGCCCTTTTGTGATTTTTTTAAATACTGATATATTCTAATAACATAAGCATTTTATCAATCTTCTTGTTTATGAGCAGCAATAATATTTCTTCTGCAGTGTAACATAAATAAATATCAGAACTGAATCTTCACAGTATGGTGATTATTTCTTTAACGACCTGTATCTCTAATCCAGTCTTTACACACCTCATTATCCTGTGGGGGCAGCTGTTGCAGCAGTTGTTTGAGCCTGTACCTCTCCCCCACACTGTTCACGTACGGCACCTTGTCCTCGGCCAGCGCTGAGAAGTACAGGTGCACCTGGAAAAGTGACACGACAATGAACTGCTGGCACCTGTATTATTAGAAAAATCACGAAATTTAAACTACTCATTTTGGACGAAATAATCTAAATATAACTTTAACATTCTTCATATTATATTGTATATTTTTAATTCTTTTTAACGGTTCGTGTAATACCATACCTAATATAACACAACACACCCTGAGACGTGATAAAGACGAGCTCAAAATGAGTCAGGGGTCAGGAGCTAGGAGCTAATAACATAAATAATAGAATTAACAAGTAATCCGTACGACACAGACACCATACATATACCAGCTTGATAAAGATACGGCTATTATATTTAATGAAATACTTAGGATCATGTTTAGTTATAATGAAAATATATTTATTAAGAGAATATAATGAAAGAAACTTACGGATACACTATATAAAACAATTTAGTTTTGACGCTATATCTGTCTGTTACTAATGATAAATTATCTTGTAGACAATTTTCATCATATTATTTTAATAACTAGATATATTTTATATATACGATATATAAAAGAATTGAAGGTTTATATCATCAGTAGTAGAAGTATCAACATTTAATTTGGGACAAAAAAATCTGCTAATGACTAACGAGGGAGGGTAACACATGAGACTATAAAGATACAGCGACTTCACTTCATTAACTGTCGCCTAATGAAATAGAGACGTGATCAGACTCTCAAATGATTGTAATATATAATTAATATAACGGGAGATTGGAAGCACGCTCGCCTCGTACGAAACAGACAAGGAGACATTTATTACCTTACAAATGTAGATCAATATATACAATTATTGTTTTTATATATGTAAAGTAACTATATCAAGTAGCAATGGTCATAATATGGATAATTTTAAATATAGGATTTCGTTTTTCTCCATTATAGCAACCGATTTGATTGATTGATTGATTTGTTGCGAAGGTTAGCTTAGTGAATATAAAAGTCACTTCTCGTGAAGAATTACTTTATATAGACGATGTGATGTTTTATTTTATTTAATTATTTAATGACAAAATGTATATGAATATTTAATTCTCACTTTGTGTTTATAATAACAGAATGAAAGATTTAAAAGTAATTTTAATAACAGTAATAATATAAGGCGAAGGTTAGTGAACAGCGTCGTTTCTTCTCAATAGATTTTAGTAACTTTTAAACTAATTATCTTTGGTTCGGATTTGTTTGATAATAAAATATTTATGTTTCAAATGTATTGTAAATGATCAAATATTCACAATAATCAAAATATATGAAAATCTCAAAACATGTACAAAATAACCAACTATTGTGAAGGGGTTGGGGAGTATTCAGTGGCACTTAACAGACACGGTTAATAACCAAAGTTAAATTTAACTATTATCGTAATCGACGTTCCATTGTCTTCTTCTTCTACCTGGCAATTTCCCAGCTTTAGCCAGGGTCTGCCATACATGTTGTGAATAGTTTTGGCTAATTGTTTGAACGACCGGTCGCCTGCCTGACATCAACCCTCTTTGGGAATGCATTAATCAGTGATGTCTAAATACTCTTAGAAAGTACATATGACTCGGAAAAATCACATTGGTACTCGCCCGGGCCAGGTTCGAACCCGCGCTCTCTAGCATGAGAGGCGAACCTTTTAACCACTAGGCCACCACTGACTTAATCCATTGTATTTAACTTTAAACGTTATTTTATTATATTTATCAAACGTGTTATTATATATGTGTTGTATTGGTTTTTCTCATATACGTATGGTGGTGATGGTGTCATTGATCACACGAGCGGTGCCGGGATGCCTTAAACGTACGGAGCTGATGAATATGGCGTTCGACATAAGAAGACATCCAGGAATGTTTATAAGATGTGTTTAAGGCGCGAGCTGTAATATATTACACTGCTGATGCATCTATCTGTTACTAATGATACATTACGAACTGTTATACCCAGTTCACTATCGCTATCACAATAAAATAATTATATTATAATAAAACAATATATTGAAAATACCGTTAAAGTAAGGGACAATATTTTCAGAAAATCCGCTTACATTTTATAACAAAAAACGACCAAGATAAGAATTTAGATCGCAACAAATAGATTAATTAACAGTATATATATATTTCATATACTTTTTGTGTTCGCAGACATCCTCATCCCATAAAGTATAGTCCTAATGTTTATTTCAACGCATCGCTCGGGATAAGTAGATGGTATAAAAACACTAACTAGGAACAACTCTACTGTACACCGCCAGCCACGAGCCGCCTGCTCTATGACGACCGCCGTGTTTGGCTTATCTTACCTTACATCTAGGTAACAACGAATTTATTACACCGTGAAAAACTAACATCAATCTTATAGTGTACTAATTTAACACTATCACCTACAAGAAACCTGGTACGACTGTTTGTATCTACATGTTGATGTGTATCAATGAAAACAGAATGAGATTAATTAGTCAACGAGGTTGGTTTGACGTGTTTGTTATTATTTTACAATTTATTTCGAAGCATAGATATTAGGAGACATCGATTACGGAAATTCTGATAATAAAACTGTCTTTAGTTACTCGTAAATTTGGAGGATTATACATATGTAGATTATGTTGCATTTTCACGTGTACTCATTTAAATGAAACTAAGATTTTCGGATGTTACTATGTTATTTTACTATGATTATTTTTTTACTACAAACTTAAAACGTTCCGGTGCTTTTGCAATAACTGTGATCATGGCAGACAAGATGAAATGTTTAACATTGCAATTAACCAAAAAATAGGGATTATGAAGTCAGAAAATCATAGTTTCATTGTGTTTATTAATTATTATATGTTATAAAAGATATTATATAGAGATAGAACGCGATTCAGATTCCGTCTTGGTCCTAGCTCGAACATAAAACGAAAGTGGAGTTGTAGAAATGTTTTAAAGTAATGGTGGAGTTGTAAGTTGTTCAATAAAATGTAACAATAAAAATAAACGATCGAAGTTGTGTAATTAAAGTGAATCCAAGTTGTTGTCTGTTCTACTCTCCGTGGCCGTGTCCACGAGCCGGGCCGGGCCGGGCCGGGCCGGGCGGGTCTCAAGGCGCCGCTCGGGGTGAGCCTTTAATTTTTTGCCTCGATGCCTTCCTTCGTTTCCTCCTTCATTTTTACTTTAATTATAAATACCCGAATCTCGTACTTAAGTTGTTACCGTCGAGGGAGAATGTAATATTTATTTTGCAGGGAATCAACGGAATGTTTTGAATTTTAATGGTCACGGAGGATTTAATTACTGCACAGGAATTTTAAAGAGGTATTACTGCACATTAATCTCGATTGTGCACTTTATAAAACTGTTTAGTTGTTCACGTTGTGTGGAGCAGCGACTCCTTTGATATTTATAATAGAGGTACACTAGCTAGACATTTTCTGCTTCTAAGCTCACAATAGATCGTAAGGCCTCCTCGAACAAAGATTGAAAACAAGCAAACTTCTGCGCAACAATAGCTTTGTGGCGAGACAAAGCGTTGATGGAAATATAAAGCCTCAGAATATTCTAGAAATTAAAGCGTCACGGAAACGTTGGAGCTGTAGAAAAAATAATAAAAAAAAATAAACGGTATTAACAGGACGTTAATGACATTCCTTTGTAAATTATTTTAAGATATTTTTATTTTATTTAAACAGATTTATGAAACTGTCCTTCGCGTTTTTCAATATTCGCTATCCTCTTTATAGTAGCTGGTGAAATGTCAATGTTTATAAGCACGTGTAGTATTTCCAAGTTATTCTTTCAAAGCGGTCTTTGTGATCTTTATCAGCCGACGGTAAAAGGTTGCATCGTTTATCGGTCCATTAAAGAGGCCGGTTCGTCTTTTTGTGTCGAGGGTATGTTATTGTCTCTATATGTTCCTCGATTTATTTTCACCAGGATTATTAAACTGAAATAATCTCCTCACTAACCTGTTCTGGTCTCAGTCCGGGGGGAACCCATGTGTATTCCTCCAGGGCGCATCCTGAGTCGTCATCGCTCTGTGAGTGTCTGTGAGGGTCGACGGGCTTCATCAGTCTCTCAGCATGTTCCAGGAGTCCTCTGAGTTTTCCTTGAGGGACGGGGTGGGGGGAGAGAGACATCGCAGATTGGGGTGACTGCGGGGAATGGTAACTCGGAGGCGGCTGGTTCAGTTGGGAGCCGCTGTGACTGTGGAGAAGGTTGAACTCCTGGTACGGTTGACTCCTTCTGAAGTTAGGATAGGAGTATGGGTGAGGAGAGTTCGAAGTACTGGGGATAGAGGAGCCGCTGTGGCTCGGCTGTGGAGATGGAAGTTGAGGTGAGGCCGGCGCTGGAGGGGGCGGAGACGAGTGCTCGTGGAGCGGTGGCGGTGACGACCCAGTCGGTGACACCACACAGTTTCTGCAGACCGGTCTGAAAGGAAAAATAAAAATACTATAGATGGTCATACAAGTTGTTAGACATAATGAATCATTATCATCATCAGCCTATCACACCACTGCTGAGCAAAGGCCTTTTCTCACACGGAGAAGGTATTAGTTCATACAATAAAATTACTTATTTGGTTCATGACCTTGTATGTAAATATCTTGTATCACAATATACTCGTACATCGTATGATCCCGCGCTAGCTGTAGTTTATATCTCAATCAGCGTAACTATAATCGTGACTCACTAAATAACTCAGATGATTGATTTATTTTTGAGTCTCAGGCTACAGTGATTAAATACACGATGAATGCAAGTCAGCTGCCGGAGTCGTTAGGAGCCGAGACAGAAGTCAGAACACACATTGTTATACTACACTATTGTATACCACGATTTTTGATAAGCAGATCTTCGATTTGTTAACCAGAAAGATACCTAGTATTAAATTGTTTTTATTATGTTGATCATCCGCTAGTTGAAAAATATTCTTCATTTTTCTGTCACTTTCTAATTTTAATGGAAATTAAAAATAAATTTTGTTTTGAGAACCAATCTCATTAATACAGAGAGTCATTTAAAAATAACCATAATTTATTTTAAGCAGATGTTTATTAATTTACGAAAGCTGTTATAGAAATCAAATTAATCATAATATTTTGATTAAATAATGGCATTACTATATAATAAATAATGTTTGAACGTTGAACACAGGATGTCTTCGTGTGGGAGACGATCGTATATTAATATATGTATTAAATTAATTAAAGTTCCCAATCATGATTTAATAACATACAACGTGTTTTAAACATATATATTAATAAAAAATAATTATATAACTACTGGGAAATATAAAATATGTTTAATTAATAATAACTACTAGCCCGCTGATTAATGACGTCTTTTTATATAACCAATTCACTCTGCAGATGTAAAATTTAGTTTATTAATAAGTACTTTAAATGCCTGTTCTAATCTTTCTAATTTGAGTTGATTTATTGCTCGGAATACAATAATCATTTTTTCACAAAGTTGGTGTGAATCGAAGTTTTCTATTTTCATTATTAGATTTGAATGGAATCGTTTCTCTAGTTAATTTTAAAGTATACATATATGTATTATTTTGCTACGTGTGTATGTTATAGGGGGTTCAAATAATTTACACTTCAAGAGAACATTGAACGAGGCTCACTCCGTCTTGTTAAACATAATCTTCATAAATTTCCACAGTTCCTTTAATCCCCGCTTCATTTGAATATCTCCCGGTCTCCTTCAAGATGCCGACGACGCGTCTTTGGTCTTTTCACCTGAAGCGTTCCTCTCCTTGCGTTTTACACGCGGACAGACATTGTAACTTACTGGTTAACGTCTCGTTTAACGATGTTGTAAAATTGAACAGTTAGATGTCTGTACTAAGTGTTTATTGTAATGACCCTGGTAGCTATAATGTGAGTCTCGCAATTACTGACAATACATGTATAGGAACTAGGGAGCGTTAACTGTCTACCTTTAAAAGAGTTGTAACGGTTGAAGTTAAGAGGCGAATTGTTTTATTTATGCAATGCTTGAAGTTACTTTCATCAGTCTAAGAGAAAGATAATTGTTTTAACAGATATATAAGTTCTAACTTTGACCAACCGAGGATAATTTAATATAACACTGAAATAGAAGTCAACGTTTGCGTTAGTTTTATTTAAATACTTGTAATTATTCCTTTAATATTGCCATTACGTGCTCCAGTCGACAAACAGCTTTCTAAATGGCGAAATGTTATCTAAATTATAATTAATAAATGACATGCAGCGAGAAAATCTTATAAGGACTTAAACGGCAGAAAATTGAACATAATTAACTTTTCACCGGAACTCTGCAATAAATCGTGCGAGTTTAAAAATAAACCGTGTTTGAAGGTAATAAAGTATATTATTATAGACGAGCGGGAGATGTTATCTTATGTCACGAGTGGATGATGTTCAGCCTCAATCGACTATCGACTATCGACTATTGAATTCCATCGTTATCGATGTATCGGTAGTCGGTAGTCTTGGATGTAGTCTGTAGTCGTGAGATCGTTTTGTTCTCTTTATATAACATCAGATTCTGTTCAGAACGTCTCCAGGCGGCGAATCATTTGTAGATCCCAGTGAAGTCACTCAAATAATATTTTTTTTATTATCAGATATCATCAAATAATAATTTAAAATCGTTTCAAAGCTTCCAGTTAATATCTAAAACGTAGTTTCTATTTAATTAATTTCCTTAGACTTAATGTTTTTCCTGTTCTATTAATTTTGCAAGTTTGTGGGAAAATATAGTCGTAGTATTTAACTTAGTCATTATAACAAGCTATCGTTTTTAATGATTCATGAACCTGTTGATACGTCACTCTTAAAATAGTATCAATGACTCAAGTCAGGTATTAATACATATGTAACTGTTGTATGACGATTATTCTAAAGCTGTTGTTAGTGTTAGCGTCGTCTCTGTCTTATGTACAGTAAGAGTAGTTTCCGGACGGTTATGCGAAGTCAGTTTATCAGTAGCTTAGTAGAAGTCGGCATCGTCACACTACATACTGAGTGTTAAAAGTATTTCATTCACAAATCTTACATGTTACGACATTATGTATGTTATTGGATAAAAACGTCAGATGCTTCGTGTTGTATTACAAGGACTAAGAATACTAAACGGTTTAGGTCTCCGTTAGCCGAAGGCTCGCCACTTGTATTAGTTAACTAATAATTTAATGACAGAATTATTACTGCGTTCGTATGATCGTTATTACAAATATTTTCGATATCTTTGTTTATGGTTGCTTTGGTGTTAAAATAGATATTATTTTCTTTCATGGCTGTTCTATATTGCCTCGTTCGTGTTGTTATTTAATATGTATGTTAATATTTTTCTCTCGATGAAGACGTTAATCGAGTTCACGGAGTCCATACATCGGAACCAATAAAATATTTAACAATGGGACATACTAACAAGCTGTACACATTCCACGTGTACGTGACACACATACAGACACACACAACGGGATGTACACACACACACACACACACACACATGCACATACACACACACACCACAGCATTATTATACATATTCTGTTTAAACTTATCATTCAAGTAATATATTATAAAATTAATTCAGAAGCTGTTGTCCATGTTGTACTTACAAGTTCTTCGACATATTTGTACAACAAGCTTAATGCAAATTAATTTATACTTATGATGTAATAAAGAAGTACTTGTATAAGTAGTTGTGTGTATGAATCCAATACGATTTTTTCGGACCACCTTAACATAATTTTAATATAGCCTATATAAATTACGAGTTTTTGTCCGCAACTTTGTCTGCAACTTTCAGAGTTAATAATTTGTAACCGACCGGGTGAACTCTATTCCACATTTAAGACAGTAGTTAAGGAGATTTTGAATTTGATTATGTTAATTTTTTTCTTTTTAATCGGGTGAAAAGTATCCCAAGTCCTTTTCCTTATTCTTGGCTACATTTCCAACAATTTTCATCCAAACCCGTACAGCCGTTCTTGAGTTATAAATAGTGTAACTAAAACTATTTTCTTTTATTTATATGTATGTAATTATGTATTACTAAAATAAAATAAAACAAAACCACAAACACCCGTACCAGTTTGTAGTATGTAAGTAGTGAGTGTAAGTAGTATGTTACAATGTTCACTTCTAGATGGAGTCTCATAATTTCGTTGTATTCACGTTGTTCCGTTTAAAACTAAAATTAAAATAAGCGATGAAACAAAAGCCCCTGGCCTCACTATGGGAAACACTGGTCGTATTGTTTAAATTTAATTTTTAAATAGATTACACCTCAGCGCTGTTCGTTACAATGGACTCTCCATTGTTGTTATTTAATAGTATGTTGTTTACGTTTCTATTATATCATTTAGTTCGCTCGTTGTTAGTAATTATTCAGAGGGAACCTTTTGTATTATGATCGTCCAAATATTCTTTCATAATATCTGTATAATATCAAACCTCACCACCTCCGGGTCGCTCGCGGCGCCGTGGTACCTTTCACAGTTATTTTTATGTTCCCCTGATCTATAATTTCGTAAGTAATGATCCTCGCACACCATATTGAAAGCTGTTTTATGGATTTTCTAGAACCACTATGAATCGCTCAAGATGTAACGACGAAATATAATAATCTTGTTGACTAATACTAGTCACTGACAGATAAGACGATACAGATTGTGGTAACTAAAATAGTAATTATAAAACTTTGAGTCAAAATAACTTAAAATATAGCATTGTTATTTAATAGTAAGTTCTGTTTAGATTTCTTAAACTGCGTTGTTCATCGAATCATAAGTTATTTATTGCAAGTAATACAAGTAGTCTTGTAATCACATGAGCTTGTAATGTTACACCTCCCTCATATAATGTTAGGAAATATTATCTTTCAGCAACACTATAAAAGTATAGAGTTTCATAACACACCAGTTAATATGAATTCAAAGAGTTTATTAAATGCCAGGTAGTTAAATTGGATACAAAAGTCACACATAAAAGACATTACAAAATAAATGAAAGTGATATTTTTAGAATTATGGTTGTTGAAAAGTAATAGAAAAGTCGGGAGAATGTAGGTTTTTAGAATAATAAAGCACTCGTCGTAGGTATATCCGAAAAACATTAGTTTCATTTAAATGAATACTCGCGACAGTCTTAGATCTCATTATTACAAAATAATATGAAATCTTCTATATATATAAAAATGGATTGCTGTTCCTTAGTCTCGCTAAAACTCGAGAACGGCTGAACCGATTTGGCTAATTTTAGTCTTGAAATACTCCTGGAATTCCAGGAAAGGTTTGAAAGGTGAGAAAAATTGGAAAAATTGCCGGAAAAACCCTAAAAACAGCCCTTTTCTATTTCCCATACAAACGATTTTTTGACATTAGACTTGACAACTAACTAATATGTCAATCATTCTGTTCGATTGAAGTAGTAGAAATTTAATAAATACCAATACCGGGTTATTGAAGACGGAATAGAGTTTGCCCGTTCAGCTATACCTATATTACTAATGACGAAATTAACGCGGACGAAGTCGCGGGCAAAAACTAGTATCTTATAAATAGTGTGAAACATTTTATTATCAGTGGTGGTCTAGTAGTTAAGAGGTCCGCCTTTCATGTATGAGGGCGCGAGTTCGATCCTGGCCCTGGCAAGTACAAATGTGATTTTTCCGAGTCATATTTACTTTCTGAGAGTACTTAGACATCACTGATTAATGCATTCCCAAAGAGGGATGATGTTTGGCAGGCTGCGGGTCGTAAAAACAATTAGCCAAAACTATTCACAACATGTAAGGCAGACCCTGGCTAAAGCTGGGGAATTGCCAGGTAGAAGAAAAATATGATACATTATATACGGGACTTTAGTATGGATAAACTACTTTTTGTATTTTTATCGTTAATATTGTAGTCATATTAAAATCTTGATTAACATATTAAACGATGTATGTAAGTAATGTTCTTCAAAGTATCTAGTTATATACAGATGTAAGAGTTGAAATGTAACCATTGAATACAAGTTCCCATCGTAAAGAGTTTCTTAAACGAGATCATTAACAACATCATCTCTGTTAGCTATGTGGTGATGATTAATCATTGATGAATTAATAAACACACAATATTATATGGACATTTATATTCATTTAAAACGATATGGAGATTGTTTTACTGTTAGATTGAATTGAAATTATAATTGTATGTGTGTGTGTGCTCATAAACTACTATTATTAATTACAACACACGAGTATAGATACAATCTGTGTTGACACCACGTTACAATATAGTCAGGAGGTTGTAAAAACTATAACCACTAGTCAGAAGTAGTTCACTGTGTGGCAAATAAACAACATACACAAAAAAATTTAAAGGTTCAGCCGCAAGATATTTAGATGTTGCATTTGCTGACTCGACTGTAGAAATGTTTTTTTTCTTATTTCAAATAAAACCCAAATAAAAATTATATTACTAATGTCAAAGTTTCTCGGGTTAATATTTGTGTATGAATGTATGTTTATTGTTTAGTTTCTACAATATAAACGTTTGTAGGTTCATACATTTGTATTTAATATGAACAAGTTGACAGTGAATGCAGCAGACGTGGGAACTACTATTTATGGAAAATAAAAAAAATAGTACATCTTTATATGCATGCGGCATGCGGGTGTGTCGGTGTGTGGATGAACAGCAGACGTCTTTGTGAACAAAACTCTTTAACTTGAAGTACTCCACGACTTGTAATATGAACAGACCTGTCACACCATTCAAATGTGAAGAATATAGTGTGGATATCATCAATACATACTCATTCCTCATACACTCATCATACTTATGATCAGTCTCTTTGTAGTTCAAAAACAACGTACATTTTTACTAAAAATAAATAGCTGAACCGTTTATGAATATTTCGTTTTAAATGATAATAGTTTTGATTAACATATAGTAGTAATAAATATCATTTGGGATCTATTTACGTTGGTTATAAAGAGAGCATTGAGATTACAAGTGTATGTGAGTCCTAGTCCCGTCGCTCCCGGCGCGGGCGTCCCGGAGAGACCGATTCATGATTTATGATCTCCCGAGCAATTAACGACAATATATAAAATAGAAACCGGACAAAATTAGTTCGAGTATGATACATTTACATATTAAGAGTCTCCCTCGAGTCGAGTCGCGACCGGTTTAAGATATGAACTAACTTATATGTTTTATGAAGAATTTTAAAAGGCATTTTTATCTCACGAGCAAACGATCGCCGCGGATCGTACAGAGATTATATATTAATATGTTGTTTATTGATCATTTAAGATAACTATTGTATTCAATATTATTGTATTAATATATGTACATTATAACGCGATCGACTTGAAAATTGACAGAACAACTCAGGACCTGTTTATTAATGATACAGTAAACTTTAACAAACCTTTAATTAATATTAATTAATGATAAAGTTTTTAATGTGAAAACCTCCAGTAGTATTACATGAAGAAGGTAAGCCTTTGTTTAATATGTTAACAACATACATTTTTATTCATTTGTAATAATTGTCTCGTACAGATTGTATTTTGTAAAACAAGAATCTCTTCTCTTGATAAGGTTTAAATTAATAATTGATTGAAAGAAATGAAACTCGTTTTGCCATCAAACTAGTGGGTTTTGAGATAATTAACAACAAATCACAAAGAAAGGCGGCGTTTGAGTTTTGTATGTAGGAAGTGAGAGAGACATTTGTGATCTTATTAGTCAAAAGTCAGACTTGTCTCCTGGTATGTGATGATGAGACTCAGTCTAAGTATGTTTACAGAGACTGTTGTATGTGATCTGTAGCAATTACACGAACTAGTCTCTGTACTTGAAGTCTATGCAAATGTTAAGTCATGGGAAGCCTCATGAAATATTAAAATAACGGTGTCCTGTTTATATAATTACTGAACACATAAAAATATAAAGGTTGTTAATTTTAAATATCATTAAATTTTATGGAGATTCGAATCATTACATTAATGTAGCGACGATTTACAAACACACGACCCGAGGACATTTATTGGTAACTGGATTTTCATACAATAATAATTGTACATTTAAGTTCTTGAGTTATTAAAGATCGTATCTATATCATGTTACATGCAGACACACATCTATTCATTTATCGATTTATGAATTATTTGGTTGTTATATCATCATCAACCTATCAGCGCCCACTGCTGAGCAAAAGGTCTCTTCTCACATGGAGAGGATTTGAGGATTAATCACCACGTTTGCTCAAGACGGGTTGGTGATTTCAAACTTATAACTTGAACGAGTTTCCTCACAATGTTTTCCTTTACCGTCTGTCAGAGATGTCTAAATACTCTTAGACAGTACATTTGACTCGGAAAAATCACATTGGTACTTGTCAGGTTTCGAACCCACAACCTCATGCATGAGAGGCGGGCCTTTAACCTTTATGCCACCACCACCAATTGTTGGTATAATATATACAAATAAAAAATAAATAATAATTTTGAAATGTTGTTAGAATAAAATAATCTTTGACACTCATATCTCGTGTGCCCGTGATCTCGGTTGCTGTAAAGTAACCAAAACGTCGGGACTATGTAGTTTATAGTCAAAAATAAAAACGCTTATGTAGTAAATCCGAAAATATTAGTTTCATTTAAATCTTTGCATAGTATCTCTGTCTAAACAAGTTTGGTTAAAATTTGTGTTGAAACATGTATTCTATATAACTATTTTCGTAATTTCTCAACATATCAAGTATCGGTCACAATGTTTATCAGTATGTATATCTGTGTGTATAATGATATATTATTATAACTTGCGTCTCACGGCGGGGCGCGGCGGGGCGCGGCGGGGCGCGGTAGTTTAATAACTTTCCTTGTATATTGAATACTTTGTATAATTTCGTGTGGAGAAAGTTTAATGTGAGTGTGATTAAATTATTGGAAACATACAAAAGTTATAATAATGTTGAAGATTGTAAACTGTACGTTCTTGATGTATTCATATTTAGTTATAGTAATATAATATTATCTAAAGATTAAAACTTTTATTGTACCGTACAGTTGTTTAATAGCTCGTTTCCGTCCTAAATAACTCTTGTTGCTACACTTGTAAATATTTAATGATAAAACATTATATGACTTTTTGGTAAGAGTATTCAATTAGTGAAATGTTTAAAAAAACGACCTTTATTTTAGCAAAGTTTTTGTTACCACCACCTTAGTCGCTTTATTTATGAAGTTCTTGAGCTACAAAAATAATATATATAAATTGTTTATTTTCTTAATATTTTGTCCCGGATCCGAGAATTTATCGAAATCTATACTAATATTATAAAGCTGAAGAGTTTGTTTGTTTGTTTGAAAGCGCTAATCTCCGAAACTACTGGTTCGAATTGAATAATTCTTTTTGTGTTGGATAGTCCAGTTATCGAGGAAGGCTGTGGGCTATATAACATCACGCTACGACCAATAGGAGCAAAGATATAGTGGTAAATGTGTAAAAAACGGGAGAAATTATTTCATCTTTGAAGCCTTCCGTTGCGTGCGCCGTGA